AAAGACTAGTTTAGGTGTCTGATGGTTCTAGAATCAACCTTTGTTCCCTTTTGACTGCTATCACTCCTTTTTCCAAGAAGATCATGAACAACTTAATGAGCATCACCCTGGTCTTCCTTTCTTGGCAACCATCCTCTCCTCCCATTATTTTGGCAAGCATGTATAAGTACACCTAGAACATTAATGCATATGCTTGAAACATATGTTAACCGTTTGAACAAAACATAATTATAAGTACTGTTCTAGAATCAACCTTTGTTCCATTTTGACTGCTATCACTCCTTTTTTCAAGCAGATCATGAACAACTTAATGTGCATCCCCCTGATCTACCATTTTTGGCAACCATCCTCTCCTCCCATTACAACTTAATGTGCCTCACCATCTTTTGGCAACTACCTATCTGCTATGGTTAGGGATGTCAAAATAGATTGGTCCTTGTGTACATGTGACTGGTGTGGCACAAGACATGCTTCCAACCTAAGGCTAGCACATGCATGGCACACATGATGTCAACTACTTGTTGAGAAATGCTCGAGTAATGTAGATCCATATGTTTCTAGCAATAACTAAAGTGAAGCACATGGGTACATTCTGCCAACTCATATTAGTGGCATCAAGCCAGACATGGGACCAAATCATACACGTGAGTTTAGCACATAGCTTGAAGCTTAAGACTGTACTAGTGAGTTTATCAAACTTCAATAAAGTTACATATGCTTATTTATACTTTTATCAAGCACTATTCGAATAACCTTTTAACTCTTCATGGAAATTTAGCATACAAGACTACCATCAATAATTATATTGTCCCCAGAACAAAATAAACCACCTTACAAAACTAGTAAAATATAGGTACAAAAATATCTATAAGCATGTTTTCTTATAACTACTCTTACCTCTAAGCAATCAATAACAGCCAGTTGGTGTTCTTCAGCAATATCTGGATTTATTTTAATAAGTCTGCCAAGAGCATCAATGCCCATATATTTGAGGTTATGACTATCACTCTGCCCATAGAAGTGTAGATATTAGACTGAGACAAAAGATGTAAGTATCAACCAAGAACAAAAAGTAGACATGCCTTCAGAAACTTTGAAGTAGATTCTGCAGCAGCATCTAGTACTTTAGCATTTGGGTAGATGGATGAAACACAGCATATGCATTCATATAGCACAGCATTACCAATGTTGCTCGATGATTCGCATTTCCTAAATATGTCACCAAGTACATTATAAATGTGTCCACTTGCTTGCTTATCACCGCTACCAAGCAGTGCAAGAATCTTGAGCAGCTTTATCTGCAGCAAAATATAGGATGCTAACCAACATAAAACTGGATAAATTAGTAGGTTAGAGATCAAGTATTGTTGGTAGCACAATACCTGAATAAATGGAGCAGGCATTTGATGGTAATCATAGGCCTTCGGAAGCCTTCTTTCAGCTACTTGCTTAAGAATGCTAACAAAACTGATAACCAGATCTTTATATGAGTTTACATCTGCAGTAATGAGATCAAAAAGAGGAAAAAGTGTTGCACCCATCACTCCAGGGTCATTGTCACATAGCCTCTGCAAAAAAAAAAAAAAAAAAATCAACAAACTGATATATTAGCTCCTGAAATGGCCTGTCAGATACAAGTAGAAGATGTAATGTAGATCATTGTAAAAGACTGTAATGAGAATTAATAAATGTATTAAAGCAACTTGTTATGAAAACATCACAATATATAAAAGTTAATAAACACATAAATGTTCGAACCAGATAGAATTATTTAACCATTTCCACATATCAAGCATTTTATCCAGACCTATATAGGACGATGTAACAGAACAAGCTAAACTTAGTTATATCACGTTGAGAAAAATAACTAACAAAAACAAAATTAGGAGATGACAGCATTGATAGGGTATTTCCCCTCTTACCACAAGTCTTCTTTCTTCAAGGGAGAAAGATATCCTCCCTGAGATAGGAAAGATCAAAGAGATCCAAGAAAGAAAAAAGACAAAAATGCTAGAAGATAGAGGTAGAACAAGAGAGAAGAAAGAAGAATAAGAGAGATAGAGAAAAGGAAACGAACTATAGAGAGTTTATCGTGGATAAATTCAATTAGTATCCTCTGAGGATCCTTTCCCCCTGTTATTCCTCAAGAAAGTAAAACTCAACAAGACTTATCACCGTAAAGTCTATAAGTTGAGAGATGAAAAGTTAATCTCACATTCTCACAAAGTTCCTCTGTTGGACTTTATAACTCTCCAAATATAATCCTAAATAGGAAATATAAATACCCTAACCACCACTACCAAGATTAAGTCTTTTGGACGCTAATATGACTCTTAATAGGAATCTATAAGCCTTTCAAAAGAGCCTTTAAAAACAAGGAGAAAATACAACTATATTCCTAGTCCAAGTAGGATAAAAATTCTTAGGAAAGAGAACTAGTTAGACTGAATCATATTCTAATTTGGTTTGAGCCTTGACTTGAATCCCGATGTAGGGATTAAAATCTTTTGATTGCTTAAATTAAAGATGTAAATCAAGACAACATCATGGATCCACTTCTTCTAAAGTATCCCTTCCAAAATCTACAACATGGTCCAATTATGGTCGTTTGAGCCTGGAATACATGCAGTAGAATTCCGAAGTAATCTGACCCATGTCAGAATAAATATAGGCTTCCAACTCTGCTCTTTTCTGGTTCAATCCAGTAACATAATCAAGGCATAGTAACTCAGTTTTCTGGGTTGTTCAGGTCCTAGTCAAGGGATGTCAATTGCAAACTCGAAGACTATTAGTTTCTCCTAAAACCACCTGTTAATATGAACATTGTAAATGTTGCTCCATTGTTCCTTAACAATAAAACCAATAGAAAAGCCTTTTTTTCTCAGTACTGCCCCAAAGAAATCAGAAAAGGTAATCCATCATGTTTACACATAAAAGAATTCATTGGGTGCTTTCATGTCAACCCTTTGTATATTCTAAGATGTCAATGTAAGCCACAAAGCTAAGATTCATAATTGGCAGATGGTTAAAGAACATAAATTGAGGATCCCTCAATGTTTCCAAAAAAAAAGTTCAGAAATCCTTCTGAACATATTTCTTTTGTTTTATGAACTCAAATTCTTTTTCATTGAGTGTTCTGTCTCATGCAGTCTTTCTACTTGCAAGGAAAACATTGTGATGAAAAAAGAGAAAGCAGTAACAAACAAACACCAATGAGCCAAACGAGGTGCCTCAGCAACCGGAGACATACTAGCATCCTTTTAAGTGCAAAAAAATTCAACGACGACCACCTAAGAAACAAGTTGCCATAAATAGCATAAACGCAAGCATAGAGGATTCAGTCACAAACTTTAATAAGCGTGGAAAGAGCACCTTTCTGAAGTTGGAGATGAGGTGGGACACGGAGGCGGGGGATCGCTGGTAGAAGCGGTGGAGGGCCATAACAGCCTTCTTGCGGACGGCCTCTTTGGGGTGGGCGAGGAGGTCGACCACCTGGGGGAGGACGGCGGGGATCGTCTCCTCGTTGATGAGCTTGCATGCGGCGGTTAGGGCGGTGCAAACGATGAGGTAGTTGTCGGAACGGAGGTCCTTCTGGATGGTGTTGACTATGAGGATGATAAGGTCATGGTCGTCGCTGAGGAAGAGGGTGACGGCGAGGTAGCCGGTGCGCTTGAGGGAGAGGGAGTCGTCGTGGGTCATCTTGACAGCATGGATATAGCCGAAGGAAGCATCGTGGCCAAGCATCTCGGCGTAGACGAGGCGGATGATGTACTCCTTCATCCGGCGGCGGGGGACGTCTGGTTCGGCGATGCGGCGGCGGAGTGAGTCGATCTCCCGGAGGATGATGCGGTCCTCTTCCGCCTTGGAGCGCGCCTCCCCAATCGACTTCACCAGGTCCAGGAACTCCTTGGACTGGCCGGTCCACCCGCCCCCTTGGGAGCCCATTGCCAGCTCCCGCCCGATCGTCTTCAGCTGCTCCATCCCCAATTCCCGATGCGGAATCGCACGAAGCCAAAGCCCTTGGACGATCTACTTCCTCTTCTCCTCCTTGGAAGATTCAGATCTCCCACTCCCGAATTCGTTATCCCAGTTTCGCCTCGATCGCAAAGATTCAGCGTATTCTGAGATCTCCCGATCAAATACGGAAGAGCAGAATCCAGATCCAGATCCAGGTCGAGGATCGAGGTCGTTGTTGAGATGGAGATCTGAAGACACGCACAGAGGAGGACGAAGAAAAGAGCGATCTCTGGTTTGTTCTCCTCGCTTGACAGGAGAGATGAAAATTAGGGTGTGAGAATAGAAGTGGAGAACGGGCCGGGAACCCTTTGGGTGTATGATGGTCTCGGTTTGGGCTAAGACACATAAATACAAGCTAGTTAAGGATTTAGGAATGAGAAGAGTGGAGGTGAGGAATATTTGGGTGAAGTTATCACTTTACATGTGATCTCGAGGCGATAATAACGACATGCACGAAAGCATCCGTAGGCATTGGATTCAGTATATAATGCACGGTGGCTTTTCACATGTCTATTATCCCCTTGAGTTTGTAAATACCGTATCTTTTGCCTTAAGTAAATTATAGTGATATATGTATGCTTTATTCTGTGAAAATATTGCTGTGTTGGTCTCCATAAGAATGCATTAGATTTACATTAAGGGATAGGTAGAAAGTGAATAGGGAATACATACTTGATTGTTGTATTGGAAATCAATCCCCATCTTAAGGGCCATCATACTATGTAATAGATGTAAGCTAGTTTAGAGGGTAAATTGTTGATAGTAGTAATATATTTAAATTAATGAAAACTAAAATGTCTAATAATAAAAAATATATCAATACATGCATAAAAGAAATAATCCAACATCCTATGGGCGTCAAATAATTTAGGAGATTTTGTTTATGGAAAACCAATTGGAATGATACAATAATAATATACCTACGCCGGACAGACGATATGACAGTTCATTCAATCAATAATTAAAATATAATGATCAATTAATAATCAACAAGTACCGATCACTATGAACACAGATTCGTCCATCTGTTTTAAACAATAAGAAAGCTCCATAGTTATACTTTTGAGCTCTTTGCCTCTAATCTTTTGAGCTAATAGCAACTTCCAAGGAGCTTTAATCTATAATACATGCATACACAGATTGCAGATTGATAGTGTTAGTGTTGATTATATCTCTGACACATGGTTATTTTTCTTTCACACTTTTAAGGCTAGAATAATCAAATCCATTGGAAGATGTTACTGTCCCTAACTTCAAATGTCAAGATACATTCCAAGCTTTTATTTCAGCCATTCAACAGATCACAAACAAGAAAAGAGTTTCGAGCAGTAATTTACTTGTATAGCTGCTTAATTTGTTCCCTGTACCGATCTGCAACTTCGTTCCTTTTTATTTTCATGGTTGGAGTCATTAAACCATTATCAATCTGAATACAGAAGTGGAAAAACAAGATTATGATTAAGACATATTTGACATGGTATGGACTAAAAATCATGTTGAGCAAAATAATTGAAATCAGGAAGGAGATTACCGTGAAGGGCTCGTCCACTATCAGTATGGGTCCGATCCGGAAAGAGAAACCAACAGTCCTGCAGTAAAGTAGACATCAGTTTTTCACCCTTTCCTTCCTGTTACTGTTACTAGCTTTGGACATGAAATTCCTGGGAACTTTAGCTCAGACCTATAGAGATTCTTTTCCAGCTAAACAGGTTTATCGATGGTTAAATTTTTTAATTGACAATTTTGAGCATTCAATCCGTAAGGGAAAAAAAAAAAGCATTTACCAACATTCTAACTTTTATACATTTGTGTTTTTACTATGCTGCTGTCTTCAATGTATCAAGTGTCATAGTTATGTTAGAACCCTTGTAGATTTTAAACTTGGGATTGATCTCGTTAGGGGGATCGATCTCCTTGGAACTCCATAGGGGTTCCTCCCTCCAAGTTACTGCTCAAAGGCTGCAGAAAAGATTCATCTATTGTTTATCAAAAGATGATGAATATATGACAATTTATAGGGTTTTTAAATCCTAACTCCTAATAGGACTCATACTCAATTAAGACTCTTACTCAAGACTCCTAATAGGACTCCTACTCAATACTTCTATTCCTTTACAACTCCTAATTCTTTTCTAAGAAATAACCTCCAAACCCTAGTCGACATCTTCACCTCTTTAATAGGGGTCGGCTTAGGTAGGTTTTACATGAATGCCCCTCTTAATTAGGATTCTCCTAATTAGAGTCCTAACAAGTTCCTCTGCTTGTTTGATGCAATCATAAAGTTCATTGGTGTATCATCAAATGTTGCTTAATTGCTGTTGAAATCAGGTATCAAAAGGAACTGAACTGCAAATAAGGATAGCAATAGAAGACTTTAAAATGTCACAGTTGAACTGATGAGACAATGCTATTTGCAACACTATATTACACGACATTTCACCCAGTGAGCTGATGAAGAAAAGGTTTCTCTAGGCATTTTATCAGAAACTTGGGAGAATATGAAAATAAAATTATATGCCAGTTCTGTGAAATTAGTTAGACATTGAAATCTGATCAGCAACAATTAAGGTTGAAATATGCATCTAAAAAGGAGAGATGGCATGCATTGGTCAGATGACTTGCACAACAACTTTTAACATTGCACATTGGTTGTGAAGAGTTGAAAGATGGAGGGAAGAAAAGAAGAAAAAATCTCCTGGTTGTGAAGTTCAAAAATTCAGGATTTTGAAAAAGAAAACAGAAAACCTGTGTTTATCTAGTGATATCGAGAGGAGAGGATAAAGGGTTTCCATTGACAACCAAATTTATCTCTACAGCTTTTCTCTCACACTGCTTCCAACCCACTCAACCAATCATATGAATAAGAGAAATGGACATGAAAGTAGCTCTTACGGTTCAGTTTGTCAAGGATTGTGACAATCCCAATTAGTTCAATGGTGAGTAGCTAAAGTGCAGAAAGGAAAGATCAGAACTAAGAAGCTTAAAGATGCATTGATAATGACAGAAGTCAAACAGCATGCAGAGAAGATAGGGATTAAGGTTCCAGACGGATAAAAGTGTAAAAATAATAAGTATCAGGTACTTGAGTAACAATGTGAAAAACTGAGGATGTTGGTCAGTGGGTGATATCCTCGATTTCATTATGGCCGGACAAGATTCTGAAACAATGTAAAGTCTGCCTGCAAAATTTGGGAATGTATTGTTGTTATATACAAATTTGGGAAAGGAATCACTTGTTTCACTTACATGGAATGCTTCATGCAACAACTGTGCAATTGTTCTTTAATAATCAAACACTTGAGCTAGTATCAAGAATTAAAATACTGGTCTAATACCGGTTTCAGCACCATGCTGAACCAACATGATATTGGTATCTGGCTAGTATAAGGTCTTTCTCAGTTGATTCATGCATTCTGGTGAGTTTTGTTACAAGTTGTTTATATTGCATGGTAAAGCTCATCCCAAAAAAGATGATGTCGTATGATCCACATCAGAAACATAGCCTATAGAATTAGCCAACTTAAAGAATATGTGCACATGATGCAGTTAGTGCCAAAATTTTGATTCCACATTTTCTGGCGAGACAGATGCACAAAAGGTAAAATGTCTTAAAAATGTCGAACTGTTCTAGCAATCACCACCTTGCAATCCCAGATAAGGCATGACAGCCATTGTTACAAGCTTGTCATAGACATGGGCAATGAACTACTCGACTATCAAGAAACATTCATCACATCCCTCGATTACCGCAACATAATGGCAAAGATGATAGACAAACTTTAGTACTTAATAACAAAGAAACTAAAAAAGTCAAGTATTTTATGATTAATATACATATTGCCTCACATGAAGAAAAGAAAGTTATTGAAATACTTAAGAGTTAAGACATTGTTATACAAAAACTGTTCGAAAGTGATAATCGAGTACCCATGCATTTTGTGTCGAACATCAACTAGAAGAATGAGAAACATAGAGAAGGAGACAGTTACTACATGATATAAACCAAAAGAGCCTGATCATATGGCAATCAACAATGTTAAAGTCATTTTCAGGTTTTTCATTAAAAAAAAAAAGAGAAATATCAACTCATAAAATCATCATGTTTACAACAAAACTGGCACATATTAAGAGATAGTAGACAATGTTCAGGATTAATTGTATAAATACTAAAAGTAGACCAAAGATATGGAACCAAAGTGGAAGCAACAGTGACTTACAGATGAGAGAATACTGGGTTACATGAAATTTGTATTATACATAATTTCATACAAAAGCTAGACTTACAAAAAGAAAGAAAGAAATCTGGCAGAAGTGGGAACAAAGACCATGCTATTAGAAGCTAACAAATTAAATAGTGTCATGGTTTGTTAAAACTTAAAAGTACCTCAAACATTGGTATGGAGACAACACATAAAAGCAAAGCGAATAATAGATCTTACCAAGTTTTTAACTCATCATATAACAGGCTCATCATCTTATTTTCACTCAGCTCAGAGTCATCATTTACAATTGACTGCCTTCGAGCTACTGCTAAAACTTCATCTTTGTTTGGGACAATTATAGCTCCAAGCCTCCGTTGATCCTACATACAATTTGTGCCAATAAGCTACCAAAGATGTTACAAGCTAGCACAATGCTACAAAGTTTCATAAGGAAGCTAACATAAGGAAAACATAACAGTTAGTCACTTGTTATGAAAGGACAATCATGATTTAAAACCCGAATGTACTAGTCCATACCAAACTGTGTTTACTGGTCCAAAGAAGAAGCAGTGCATGGACCAACCCAATCTGTACAGTACTGGTTCATACGAGGTGGACCATGTGATAAGGTCATAGTACCGGGAATACTTGTAGGTTTTCTTACTTTGCAATGTCGAATCAAATGATAAGCACTGTCTGGTCAATTGACCCGTCCCATTATCTAAAAAGTCCAAGCTTCATGCCTATTTGGTTCCTTCGACACATTACTTTAGTGATCTAGAACATGTTGCCATGAGGAGATTGTGCTTCTTCATCTTAGTGATGAACAAAGCATTAATTCAAGCTGGATCTGTGTCTCAAGCCAAATCCACGCAGATCTTATCAGTGCCCACCATCATGGTCATACAACTTGTACTTGATCAGGTCACTCATACCAATAGGCACCAATTGTACATCTCAAGCCCCACACAAAAAAGTAAATACCATAACCATTTGTTGTTCTCTAATTTACAAGAAAGCCACATGATGTTCCTCTGTTTATCCACAATTGGCACAAACCTATTAACAACGATTCCCTGGAATATCACAAGTGGATACTCTAGATTTATATTATTGATCTCTAGTGCCAATTGCATTCCGAGGAACTACGCCATTAATTTTGGTATAAGTAGGACTGTAGGAGACTTTTACTTTTAAGGTATGGCTTGTAATATACATAACACATGTATCATATGCTGATATTTTGCAATTTCAGAAGGTTTCTGCTTATGTATTTTTGATATATGGTTCATACAGGATCTTTGAAAATGTATTAGTTTATTATTGAAGCAAACATACATTAAAAAACTGAGTTTAACATGGTTTGGATGGATACAGAATTAGAACCCACCGATCTAACTAATATGGACCAGTATGGCAACAACACTTACTATGGTCAATACAAGCATGGCAATGGTCCAACCAAACATCAGTTTTATACCGGACCGAGATTTAAAGCTTCAGATAGAATGAATTCATAAGTCAACAAACAAATTATTTTCAAGTGGTATTATTTTGGGAAAGCCATGATAAACCAAACATACATTTTGTTTTTGCTCTGTTTCTCTTTAGATTTGCACAGCAAAGGAAATGCATGGATTTTGAAAACATTGTGGGTGTATTAATTATTAAAGCTTAAAAAGTTTGTTAAATCTGAAGATGCCTTGCAGATTTTTTAAAATGGAAGTACAAAAACTCACTAAAATCTGATAAAATACAAGTACAAAGTTTCCTAAATCTTTTAACTGGGATGGACATACATGGATTTAGAAAACAGGACTGCTGTTTTAAAAGTTCTCTAAACTTTGGAAATGTCCATTACATTTCTTAAATGAAAGGATAATCTAATATAGAATCTATCTTGTGCAGGCACTCAAAACGATAGCCACACATTGTGATGCTCAGACAGGCAGCAAGCAAGTTCAAAAGTCAGAAAGAGGACCAAAGGATGATAGAGTCACACTTGGAGAACTGGTTAATACAATGCTCTACAGGCTTCCTATTTCAATCAGTACTAGAACCAACTTCCTCTGGAACTTAAAGGTCAGTTTTTTGTTTTTTGCATTTTTTTATTGGTACAGGGTGTTATGGTTGGTATACTGCCAAGTTCACCAGACTGTATCAGGACCATATGATCCAGTTACAGTCAGTAAATAGTTTTTTTTGCCTTTTCAATTGGTATCGAGAGGTACAGGTTAGTGTACTTTGCCATATACCAGATCATACTAGTTTGGTAGATTGCTGAAACCAGTACTGGACCAAGATTTAAAATCTTGGAATATACACAATCAATTTGACAACACTTTTTTTATATGAAGAATGATTTTTTTTTAATTTTATATCACTGGAATGAAGAATTGGTGTCTAGCAAGAGTAGTTAGCGAAACCTACATATGTGGCATAAGGTAAAAACTTTTCAAGGACATCAAACAAGACACTCATTCACTTCTTTGCAATTTAAACATAAGTACAGATCGACAATGAGTTTCTCTTCAAAATTACCACTCATAAAATTTTAGTACTGATTGAGACAATTAATAAAAACTTTCACGAACATCAATTAAGATATGCATTCACTTCCATGGAATGCAAGCATAAATACAAAGAATACTCAATTTAGTTTGTGTTCTCTTTAAATAATACATATTAAATCTATAACTTATTTTCCAAGTCTAGAACCATAATAATGGGTAGTACTCCTTTACCTGACCAATGACCACAATTTGTTGTATCAAACTACTTCGCATGGCAGCAGCCTCGAGCTCTGTTGGTTCAACATTCTCACCTAGAAAGTTTCCAATCAAGTCAAAATACTATGAAAGACCGGACGCAAAAGAAGCATAAATTTGTAGATAGTATCCTATATTCTCCTGGTTTTTATTATCATGATAGGAGAACATTTGAATTAAACAAAATATTTGATACCCATAGACAAGGGTATAGTTAGCTAGAATATAATGAAATATGTGAGGCAAAGAAATTTCGAAGTCAAAGATGGTTGCAATAGTTTTTACATCCTTCAATAGTATAATCGTGTGTGATCATGTTCAGCAAACACTCACAAACTGCCATGATACGAAACAAAACCACTTATTCAATGTATTAGTTTACCTTTGTAAACCTCCTATCACCAAGCAAAAGTAAAAAACAGTTAGGTGTTTGCTTCATGCAATGGGAGGGAACAATTAATCAAATACCGGTTGGATTGACATGCCTGGACCAGCCCAAATCAGGTGGTTCGGTCTGGTCTATATATCATATATTTTTTCTCTTAGGGTTACGGATTAGGGATGCATGATTTCTCATGCTTGCCATGAGGCCCACAGTTGCTCGTCGCCCCATCCGGTACACTTCCACCTCCTTTCCTCTTCCACTGTCTTGTCCTCTTCTCTTCTTCCTTTCTCTTCCTCCTTCCTCTTCTCCTTCTTCTCCTTCCTCCTCTCTTCAGCACATATAAGTGTCTTGTGTGTTGATACACCGGTGCATTTGGTATGTACCGATCCAGCCAAGGACCTATCTATAGTACCCCAGTACGAGATTGCATAGGGCTCAGCTAGCATGAATGAAAAAACGACTCCTCGACTTCACCCTCCCATGCCCATCAACCACTGTCCGCTGCTGACTGTACACTCATTGCCCACTCTGGTGCGTCTTCTCCTCCTTCACGACCTCCTCTTCTTCCTTCTTATTTTTCATCATTTTCCTCCCCTCCTCTCCCTACCCCAACAATACTGTGGTATGTTCTGATGCACCATATGTCAATACATCCGGTCCAGCCATGGACTGGCACAGGTCCAATAACTGAAATTGCAAACCTTGCTCATGACCAGCAGTGTGATAATTTGGTCATTTTTCTTAGAGTATGATGCATCTTATGACTTACATCATCAGTATAATGATGACAATAGCAACTCAATTACATTTCAGCAGAGCCATACGTGTCATGATCATTCTTGTCTGCAACACGGGTTGTCAATGACGATGAGACTGTGATTGCTACCATGTTGTTACATTAGTGAACACATTGTTTGACAATATCAAATGTCATGGGAGTATTTTCATGCACAAGTCCTTCAGGATTATAATTTTGAACCACCTCTCATGAATCAAAGGTGATTATTTGGTAGTGATATGCTGGTATGGAATTAAATTTTTTGATTTGCTTTTCTTTATATACTGTTCATAATCCACACTTAAAACATCTTTTGATTCATTATTTACTCGTTACTTAGTCAACACTTATGTATATTTACTGATTAATAAGACTTCTTAGGTCAATTTTAATAAAAAAGATAAAAACTAAACCTAATTTTTGGGTCCACTGGCTGGTCCAGACCAGCCAGACCTGTACTGCTCGGTATGCGGGTGTATTGACATATGATACACCCCCATTATACTGATACTGTACTGGTCCACTCAGGGACAAGTACGGATCTTAGACCAATATCTCAAAACTTGCTTGGTGTCAACCGCTACAATCAGCATACCAGCAAGGTATGGTCAGTAACACTTGGGGATTGAGATTATGCCTGCAAGTGATGTTGACATAGTACTGCAAGTAAGTCTCATATTTAGGAATATGATGATATCAGCAGGTATTGTTATTCAACATAATAGTGTATAATGGTCCCATGGTTGGTTCAAACAAAAGTATAAATGCTTCCACGTTAATGGTTCAAGGGATGCCAATTTCTTCAATAAATGGTGCAGCATGACTTAGTCTATGAGATGCACAAGGTAGCACACAAGCATGATTAAAATTCTTTAGCTGTTTAGCATTTTCGATCTTGAATTATCATGACATATAATTGCTAATCCAATAGCGTCTTTATGTTTACAAGCAAGTCTTTGAAAAGCAAAAAATGAAACACAGGGCAAGTGTTGCCACAATTGGCATGGATGAAGATTTTGGATCTTTTAATGAGAGACATTAACTACTGCAAACCGTAATGAATAGGAGCTCAGGTCTAAGAATATTTATGAGAAAATATAAATAAAGCCAGTTACTTTCTGTTATCATTAACTGAATTAACAAAAGCCAAAATTAAAAAAAAAATCTAAATCTTTATATGCATAATCTAATAAGGATTTATCAAATAATTGATGTAATTGCTATGATCCGTTCATTATAAGATATTAAGATGCATTAGTAGCCTGTTGTGTTTTTCTATTACTTTTTTTATTTTGCTTTTGCCTCTCTAGAGATGTACCTAATCTTTGCTCATGTACACAAAAACTAAACTACTTTTGGATCCATTAGTTCCAGAAAACTGAATGTGTCTGTCATCACAACAATTTTGTGTCATATTACTTTCCAGCATGTTGTGCTCTTGTCCATTTACTAAGAAACTTATACAAGAACTTTTGCCGCTTCTATTTCTACAGAATTGTACTATCTTCAAGATCTTAGTTCTTATCAAAAAGTAACTTCTTATGCAAACCACATCTAATAATCTTCACTAATGATTATAATCTCTGTAGGTTACAATTTAACATGTTTAATAAAGCCATAGTCAAAGCAAAGTGCAGATAAAGATTTATAGTTTTACATAACAACTGAAGAAGAGCATTTACATACGAAATTTGCTTTTGGATATACCTGTGCTAAGAACTATTGTGTCCTTTGATCGTCCTTCAAGAACAATCATTCCCCCACAGTTACGACTCCTCCCCATGGAATGCATCGGTATAATCCAACCTATATCACCAGTGTTAAACCAGCCCTCTTCATCTACAGCTTCACTTGTAGCAGATGGATTCTATGGGCAATGAACAATATAAGACCATTAAGAGGAAGGTGTCCTTTTCAACACAAGTTGATTCAACTTCCAAATGATCCTCTCTATTATTAAAAATTTATTAGGTTCACTTCTTCTTTGTCTGGAGACATTCACAAATTTTAGAAGGATAAACACCAGCATAAATGTGATAAACATATTTTATTGTCAGACAAACAGTATCATTGGGTTCATTACTATATATGTTACACAAAATCAACTGTTGTTTTTTCCACAAATAATTCATGAAGAGCCATTTGGATCAAAATGAAATATGAAACACTTCAGCCATATTTATGATATCCTAAATTCCTGATACATGATAAGAATATGACAAGATATTTTTGGACTATGGACCAGCAAAGAAACTTGTCAGGTGTTCTAAAAGTCTAAAACTACTAAAGACAACTAATTATAGATAGTTCTAATTCCATTTCCACATCTCCAAAAGAAAAGTTAAAACTTCCAATGCTTCGAGAGTGTATAACTTCCATCAACAACTAACCAATTCCAGGGCCATCATACACTTCCGCACCACACACACACGAGAAGAACAGAAGGCAAGGTTAACCAGGTAAGTGATAGAACACTGTATTTCTGCATCTCCTAGTTGTGACTGCATGTCAGCCGGACTCCAGGATTCAAATCAGGAACTGGACTACTAAAATTGATGACCAGAAAGCTCACTGGACAGAATGCTTAATTATCACCCTGATCCTATAGTCATCGAGATTCAAGTGGAAGCATCGTCTGCTCCTCACCCGCATATGTATTGCAATCATGAAAGAACTGTTTCTGGCATTCAAACATACAATCCTCAATCTATTTTGATCCTACCATAATCTATTTTGTGAAAGAGACACCCGATTAATTCCATCAGCCATTGGAGGAGATCGTCTGTCAACAAATGAATATTACTTTATCGGCCTCAGCTTGCAAATTCGTCTCCTTCCCCTTTATTTTCTCACTCATCTCTTCTCTTTCTCTCCAATAAGTGTACCAGCATGTCTTAAATCACATGAGATTAGATCAGTGGGCGCTGATAACATAGTGATGCAAGGTGGGGTGGTGAGGCACATCAAAAAAGATAGCAAATATATAGTGATAAACAACAGCAAAATGCTGGCTTTGAAGAGTAGAAAGGAAGAATATTGGTTAGAAATAGGAGGAAACATAAGAGGACTAAGAGATAACATTAGGACCAACTAGCACTCGAAAACAACTAAATTTCTATTGATTCATATAAAGAACTCTAAATAAATCATCAGCACCCTTTTCTTAAATATATCTTTGTAACTTCTAATAATGTATTCCAGTTTCCTTAAGTACAAGACAACACCAATATGGGACAGGAATTTTACATCACCTGTTTGCCAATACCTTTTTCAATTCTAAGTTTCCAATTGCCTCATGATGATCCAATTCTAAGATGGTTGAATTGTGTTAGAACCAGTGTCTGCCATACCGAATCGTACCGCCCAGTACGGGCGGTACGTACCAGTCCGACAGGCCAGCGGTACGCAGACCGCCCGGTACCGGTCCGCACTGTAGCTCTTGAGTCCTAACAAATTGAATTTGGAGTCCTAACAAATTGGCTCTAGTCGACCTGGTTCCCTAAAAGTCTTCATATTGAATTTGGAGTTTCTTGGTTAATGAGCTCTTGAGCCCACGAAGAACCACACTGAACTACTCTTGTATTTAGAATTTTGATTTTTAGACGAGCCCATTAAAAGAAAGAAGACGAAAAAGATGGAGAAGAGGAAGAAGAAAATGTACACTCCTCTTTTTTCAGTTTTCTCCACCCTCTCCCTCTCCCCCTTCCTCTTCCCTTTTTTGTCTTTTCAGCAGCACATTATCTTTGTATGCCCAAAATCTATATCATGGAATCCTGTTTTGCCTGGACGGATCAGGGCATGAATTAGTATGGAGACTTGATCCATTTCAGGCTGCCCAGTTCAATTCAATTATTATATATACCACCACCATCTGCCTCATTGTCCGCTGGTTGCCTCTCATCAGGTAATCCCCCTCCTCTTCCTTCCTATTCCTCCTACTCTTCCTTCTTATCTCCTGGCTGGAAATAGTACTGTAAGCTTGTCTACTGACAGCATTGATGTTTTCATAATGCAGTTCATATGTCATTCAAATGATGGTTGCATAGTGTCGTTCACATCTCAAAAATGTTTTAGTTCCATTTGTAGACTGCAAGTTTCAATTAATTCATATCATTAAATTTTACCTTGTAGTAACCTTTCATGACTTGTGGCCCTTTGACTTTGACAATGCCTTTTAAACCATCTGGAAGAACCTCACCAGTTTTCATATCCACTATTTTGATTTCTGTGTACTTAAGCGGGTGGCCAATTGTGCCAAGAACCTTCAAATGTAAAAGAATAAAAATTCAAAATTTCATTAAAAAATTAGCATTAGAGTAAAATGTGAAGATTGAAAGCAAATTCTAAATGAAAATGCAAACAAACAAAAAAGGGGAAGTAAAAAATCAAAACAACAATATAACAGGGTTTTTCTAGTACAATTTTGTTCCCTGACATGGCCCAGATAAAATATGCATATATCTTGCATATTACATGGAATGGTTCTGGTGACATGCCATATAATTCAGTTAAAATTACCAGCAAAATTCCAATTTATATTCTTAAAAATATCTAATTCAAGTTATTATTTGGTGCAAGCAATCATGCATATGGAGTCATACCACCATAGGACTTTTCATTGGGTAGTGACTTACTCTTTTTGTTTCAACAGAAAGTTTCTTCCTAAGAAGTTTTAACTGCAAGATGGATAAAGAACATCACCACCCATAATTGTGAATCAAAGTAGTTTTTAATTTGTAATACATAATTAAAGATCTACTTCATTCTACATAAGAATAACTGAATAACTATGGTCATTAAATAAGAATCCTCCTTTGAAAATTATGTTTAATTAAATAGTAAAGAACACAACATTTCCTTTCTGTCGGAAACACAAAAAGTAACAAACTTTTAGCAGATTTACGGTACATTGGAGCCTTCATCAGGCATAGAATGCCTAAGTAGTTTCTCAAACTTCACTTCTCTTTTCCCCAACATATGTATGTGCCAGTTTAGGAACACACATCATTTTAAGATATGCATATACATTTGCAAATGTAAACTCTTCAATAATTTGGCCAAAGCAACTAACCAGGATTATGAACTAAGGACATAAAGCTTTTTCCCCCTTCCAAAAAGAAGGGTTTGTAGTTCATGTGTACACAAGTATGCCAACATACTCGCGCATACAAGTATTCCAACATACAAGCATTCGAACATGCTCATACAAGTATTCCAACATACTCAAGCGTGTTAACTACTCTCTTTCTCATATTTGAAATTTTGGGTTTCTGACGTGCACACAAGTATTCCAACTTACTCATGCATGCTGAGGGGATATAAAGTAAGAGACCATTCTATAGCATTTAATAGGATAGACCCAAAAGTTAGTTAACCATTAATTGCACAGTTGCTGAAAAGCTGCAATCTGTAAATAAAGAGGACTTAGTGGGCTGGCAACCTTGATATGGGTTCATGATTCTCAGAGAAACTCTGGATTTTCTTTGTTATTTTCCAATTCCATTAGCAAAATATTAATCAACCAGTAAATAATGAATCCTAAATTATCACCATTTGTTAGTTAACAATGGACATTGGTACATGGAAAATTATTTACAAATACATTTCTGCATCACAAAGAATTCCTAAAATAAAGCAACATACATTGCAAGATGGCCGTCGAGCAGCTACAACAGGAGAAGTTTCTGTTAGACCATAACCATTCTGCACCTTAACACCAATAGCCTGAAACAGAGTTGTCAATAAACTACGGTCCTTAATGCTACAATAACACATCATTTAAGGATTCTAACCTCAAAAAACCGGTCAATATGCGATGGTAAACTCGCACCACCACTTATACCAGCCTGCAATGTGGCAAACAAATCTCTGCAATTTACTCAAGACATCAAAATGCATAAAATAGTTTTTGATTATAATCAAAAAGCAAAGTAGACTGCTGATTCTAATGCAAAAGTTCTATATTCTAGTACCTTTGATATTCCAATTGCAGAATGAATTTTGCTATAAACTAGCTTCATTGCCAATGTATGCAGTGGCCAGAGAAGTACAGCAACAATTCTTGCCCACAACCAGTCTTTCACAACTATAATTAATGATTCTTGAATGTGTTCTTTTGTTAAGAATCCACCCTTCACAAATAAAGTGTTTCTCACTCGAAAAATAAACATAAGATAATAAAAATAATTTGATAAGTTTTCCGCGTAGACATTCTAGTAAGTGAAGTAGTGAACAACTGGCAATGATTTTAGATCAATCGAGTCAAGTCCTAAAGAGCTTCAGAAAGTTGGACATAATAATGTAACCAGTAATGGAGTCATTAGTTGATGAATTAAGCATAACCCACCTCATAAATCCTCTTGGCTTCCATGTATAACAAACTAACTTTAATTAACATAAGTGCAACAAACTTCCGAGCACCAGAGCTTGTAGATATCTGCTTCTGGATTGAACTGCAGAAAAGAAAAAAACAAAAATGTCACTGCAACCTTTATTTATTGAACTCTGTCAAGGTTGATACTTGATACAAGCCCAAATTAGCACTGTATTCTTTTTCCCATGGAACAAAATTCTCACTGAACAATTTTATCGAACTTGCATGATAGTGTTCCACATGTGAGCAAATAATCTCCCATTAAAATGATCCAAGAACTCTACAAACTATAAGTAAGATTTTTTAGATTTCCAGATTATATGATTTGTCAGCAATTCAAGAACTCATGAACCAACATGAGTAATTCATACTCAAGAAGCAACCATTATCTCCTGCCACTGCTTTTTATATCTTTAAAAAATTAATTTCCTTTCATTATATTAATCAGTATATAAGCTCACACATAAACTAGAATTCGAACCTGAGACCCATCAAATGTACAACAATGAACTAACCAACCTAGACATACCTTTTCGCCATGGAAAGAACTAACCTGCATTAGTTGGTGACTCAAAACAAAAATGATCAGACTTCAGAGACAATTCTACAAAGACCAAACAAATTTAATCCAGTCCAGTTCAGCTTCAGGGATAATGCATATCATTTTTCATTTCTAAATAATAATCAGGAGATATATATAAATATATATATTTATATTTATATATATATATATGTATATACATATATATATATATACATATATATATAAACTACATTTAGAAGAATCTCCAAAGAAAGCTGACCTGTAAAGTGTTTCATAAACCAGGGGAACAGAAATAAGATACTGAGGTTGATAGAGCTTCAAGTCATCCTGTCAAAAGAAAAAAAGAATAAATAGGAGGGAAACTTTTGGGTAAGGGAAGCAGGGAGGGTAGTGAGGTGAGCAAGTTGTGCATGGACAAGCCTTTACTAAGGACCAAGGTTCGCCGTACCGTACCGTACCGGCGTTTCGACCCGGGCTCGGTACCGGTACGGTACGGTATACCGCTCGGTACACCCAGGTGTACCGAGCGGTACACCCAGGTGTACCGAGCGGTACACTCAGGTGTACCGAGCACTGTAGCACTGCTATAGTGCTACAGTGC